TCACCAGCTGTCAAGCTAATAACGAAAGTTGTTCATTTCTCGCGTTTTCATCGGTCACGTTCTGATAATATTTCAAAGCCGCATTAATTAAGAGAATGTGCGTGCAATAGCATCGTTTCGTTTAAACTTGTATGAGAAATTAATTTTTCTAATCTTTTTTTCTTTTTCCTAATTCAACGTTTCGAAATTGATTCAGTGCTCCTCTATCTTCTAATGCGTCGTGTACAATTTTTTTTACGACTAAGAAATCTATTCTCAGAAATGGTTTTTATTGATTGAATGTTTTGTTGATAATGGATCATGGATATGATTAAATTTGTATTATTCAATTTACGGTGAGAACAGCCTCGTGTATTGCCCACGCGTTTCCAAATCGCGTTCCATGCCGCGCCTGTTGATTTGCCGATAACGGTTTTCGGCTCGACCCCGATACCTCGTATGCTTCGCGGGGGGTCGGCCGCGAAAATGCCGCGAGAGAAAGGAGTTTACCTCGACAGGATTCGATGCACCAAGCAATCTCTCCTTCCACTTTTGCACGAAACTATATACCGTAGTAGACCGTAGTAGATGAAAAGTTGTACTAATCGGTGTAATTAATTGCTGATAAAGTATCAAGAGAAGTAGATTGTATTAGGTATTATTAATCGCATTAATCGCATTATATATTAAAAGAAGGTGGGAAAGGCAGAGTTGTCGTTTTTTTTTTTTTTTTTCTCTTCTTTTGTCGGATGAGCAGGCGGTAAATGTCGAATGCGGGTGTAATATCGGATATTTCGCGAACGAGAATGGGTGGGACAGACGTAATGTTTATACATATTATATATATATATATATTAGTAGCTCCTTAACGTTCGTAATGGATTTGAATCTTATCGCAGTCTTTGTTTCACGTAACATTAGAATGTTTGTCTTAAACATTGGCTTGGACAGTCTTGCATGCAAATGGTAGTTTGGTAGCACTAGTTAACCGTTTATAACAAAAGCTACGAGAGATCACCGAAAGCAGGATTTATTAAAGATTAGGATAATTTCGCAATCACAGAACATTCTCATGTTCCGAATCGAACCCGCAATGTTAGGGAGAAGACAAATCTTGAAACAGTTTTGGTGACCGTTTGAGCAGGTTAGAAGTGAAACAGTAATTTTATGAAAAATCGTGTGGTACTTATTTTACTCGCAATATATATATATATATATCTCTCGACAAATTACAATCAGCTTTGTCCCAACGCGTGAAAAGTTTTTCATGCTCATGAAAACTCGGCCTAAACAGTTTAGCGGTAACTTGCGATAATTGAACGAAGTGCGAATAAAAACGGTATCCCTCGAATCGGGAAGTCGGGAAAAATGAGTCGGTTGTCGGAGCGTTCGATAGCGAGAGCGAAAAAGAAAAAGAGTCGCAGGAAAAGAGGGAGAGACACGCAATAGACGGTCCATGTGCATCGTGCCGGTTCTCGGCTTGTTCGGTTACAGCGTAGCCGCGGCTTCGGCTTCATCACATTCGCCGAGCCCGGTAGCGTCGACAAAGTCCTCAAGTGTCCCATCCACACCCTGGATGGCAAGAAGATCGATCCGAAGCACGCGACGCCGAAGAATCGCGCGAAACAGGCCAATCGCACTAAGAAGATCTTCGTGGGTGGTGTCAGTCAGGACACCAGCAGCGACGAGGTCAAGGCCTACTTCAATCAATTTGGGAAGGTGGAGGAGACGGTGATGCTGATGGATCAACAAACGAAACGTCATCGCGGCTTCGGTTTCGTCACCTTCGAGAACGAGGACGTGGTGGACCGTGTGTGCGAGATACACTTCCACACGATCAAGAACAAGAAGGTCGAGTGTAAGAAGGCGCAGCCGAAGGAGGCGGTACAACCGGGCGCGCTAGCGCTCGGTAAACGGGTAGTGCTCGGCGCTTTAGGTGTGCGGATCGCGCCGCAACCGCCGCTGCCGGTCGCGGCGGCGGCGGCCTCGCAGCTGGTAGCCGCGCAGGCGCAAGCGGCGCAGGTGCAGGAGGCTGCGGCCGCGGCGGCGGCGGCCGCGCAGGTGCAGAACGCGGTCGCGGGATACGGGAAACTCTTCGCCACCAGTGGCTATCCTCTCTCGGCGTATCGGTACGCGCCCTATCCGATACCGGCCGCAGCGGTCGCCGCGGCG